TCCGGGTCTGTTAAGATAGCCTAGCTGATCCAGCCTTGCAGGTTAGGCTTCCCATGTGGCACCACTTGTGTCCCAGCTACTCTGCTTTCCACGCAGCTCCTTGCTAATGCACCTTGGAAAGCACTGCAGGATGGCGCAAGTGCTTGGGTCCACACCACTCACAGATGGTGAGTGGGGGGCCCAGATGGAGTCCTAGGCTCCCAGCGTCTCTTTTCTCTGTGTAACTCTTCCTTTCATGTAAACAAAGCAATCGTTTTAAAGAAACTAATAATAAGAAAATATCCCTGGCCTTGGGACTTCTTGATGGTGAAAATGCCTATTTCCTCCCCTGCTCCCGTGAGCGTGAGCACAGCAAGTGTGCCCTTGAACGGCACTCCCCCCCACACACACACACACCTGTCCTTGGCCTTGATGTGGAAGGGATGACTGGCAGGTGTGCTGAACTCTTAATGAGAGGTTTCCTCGGAGGGATTGCCTGCATCCTGCCCACCACACAGACTCCTGTGAGTAACGTTACCTTTGAACTCTGCTTGTCTTCAGCCCCTGATCCGTGGGATTTGGTGCCGATCCGTGGCCGGCGGGAGGCTTTGATCCTCAGGGAGTACAGAGGAAGTCCTGTGATGTGTGGGCTCCCAGAGTTGCAGGGATTGGGGAAGCTGCACCAGGCTGGGTGGGTTGCTGAGGCAGACCCGGTAATTAAGCAGGAGCCTTCTAACACTCAGGTGCCTAAAAACTGAGATCTGGGCACTAAGAGCAGGAGCAAGGCGCCCGGCAGTTCCGAGGTGGCGTCTGCACAAGCTTTGTGGCTGCCGTCTTAAGGCCATGGCGGGGACTCAGTGCGGGAAATTCCTCCCCTCGCCAGGCAAGAGCAGGGTCCCTGAGAATTCCCTTTATGACAGGCACATGCTAACCTCACTGGAATTTTGAATGGTGGAGACTAGTAAAAAAAAAAAAAACAAAACTCTAAGGTATTTCCACCTTGGTGAAGGCTTCCACCAGAAAGGTGACCTCATGCCAAGCAGGGGAGCTCTGCAGTGCCAGCCTGTGAGACGATGCTTCAGGCTCCCACTCAATGCAGAGGGTGGTGGGACACCTGCTGCAAGCTGGTTTTATGTAGAAACTGCCTTTATTTGATGTGGCCCCAGGGAGAGGGGACTGAATAATGTGTCCCCAAGACAGCCCTTGGTGCCTCCCCCGTGGCTGCAGACCCAGGTTGGGGTGAGGTGTCCATACCTGGCCATGGTGCTGCCCTTCCCCCATCCACATCCGGACTCCAAAGCCACTTCTGCTTCCACAAAGGGCCCCACTAGAGTGGACATGGCTCAGTGTGTGTCACCTGCCTGTGTTGCCTCCCGCAGGCTGTGGACACAGGTGCCTGTTGGGGTCACAGGGCACAAGGCACACTGATTGTATCTGCAGGGCCAACCATGGGATATGTGGAATCCTTGTTTATTTTTTTTTTTCAAGTGTCATTATTGCTAAACCATAGTATTTTCCTTTCTTGTGTAGTCTCTTTTTAAAGAGATTTATTTGCTTATTTTCATTTTATTTAGAAGATAGACAGTTCTTCCATTCACTGGTTCACTCTGCAAATGTCTGCCAACAGCCAAGACTGGTCCAAGTTAAAAATGGGAGCTAAGAACTCCATCCAAGTCTGCCATGTGGGTATGAGGACCCAAGCACTTGGACCGTCTACTGTTATTTTCCCAGGCACATAGCTGGATTGGAAGCTATAGGCAGGTCTCGAACCATTGCCCACATGGGATGCTGGCATTATAGGCAGTGGCCTAATTCACTACACCATGGCACTGTTCCTGTGGATGGCAGTATCTTCACTTGACCTTAGCCAGAAGGCCGAGAAGCAATGGATGGCAGGATCTTAACATTTTTTAACTTCTAGGCTAAACACCTGCCACTATTGCGGTTCTTGGGATGTGCACATTATCCTAACACTGTCTATATTTGATTTACTGATAACTAAGAAAGAACCTAGAGGAACAGAACTATAGCTTAGGGACAAACATTATGGCAAAACAGATTGAGCCACCACTTGGGATGCCCACATACCATATTTTATTTTTATTGCAAAGTTGGATATACAGAGAGGAGGAGAGACAGGAAGATCTTCCGTCTGATGATTCACTCCCCAAGTGACCGCAACAGCAGGTGCTGCGCCGATCCAGAGTCAGGAGCTAAGAACTTCCTCCAGGTCTCCCACGCGGGTGCAGGGTTCTAAGGCTTTGGGCCATCCTCGACTGCTTTCCCAGGCCACAAGCAGGGAGCTGGATGGGAAATGGAGCTGCCGGGATTAGAACTGGCGTCCAATGGGATCCCAGCATGTTCAAGGTGATGACTTTAGCCACTAGGCCACGGTGCTGGGCCCATAGCCTCAGGTTTTGAGAGGTTTTTTGCAGTAATGCCAGAAGAGCAGAAAGTCTCTCTCTATATATATCTTTTTTCTTTTTGGGGGGGGGGTGGTGGGTAGGGTGGTAAGGTTTATTTATTTTTTTTAATGGAAAGTCAGATTTACAGAGGAAAATCTTCCATCTCCTGGCTCATTTCCCAAGCAGCTGCAATGGCCAGAGCTGAGCCAATCCAAAGCCAGGAGCCAGGATTGTCTTCCAGGTCTCCCACATGAGTGCAGAGTCCCAAGCCTTTGCACTGTCCTCAACTGCTTTCCCAAGCTACAAGCAGGGAGCTGGATGGGAAGTGGAGCAGCCAAGATACAGACCAGTGTCCCTATGGGATCCTGGCGCATGCAAGATGAGGACTTAGCCACTAGGCTACTGCATTGGGCCCCAGAAACTCTGTTGCAACTGGCATTATGGTTTAGTGGGTGAAGACACCACCTATGATGCTGGCATCCCATATTCCCATATGGGATTTGAGATCTGGCTGGTCACTTCTGATCCAGCTCCCTGCTAGTATGCCTGGGAAAGCATTGAGTTGGTCCAAGTATTTAGGTGCCTGCCACCTCCATGGGAGACCCAGCTCCCGACTTCAGCCTAGTCTGGCCCTGTGTATAGCAAACATTTGAGGGGTGAACCAGCAGATGGAAATTCTTTTCTTAGGAAGCCTTTCCTTAAAAATAATAATTAAAAAGAAAGAATCTTGTTCCCTGAGAAACTGGGTCTGGCGTCGAAGAGAGGCTTACTTGAAGAGAGAAAACTCCAAACTCCAAGTGGATCTCCCCTGTGGGCCGCACTTGAGCTGTCATGTGCTACTGTACAAGATGCGTTAGTAGGAAGCTGGATCAGAAGCAGAGTTGCTGGGGCTCAAACCAGCACCATGACAGAGATGCGCCCCAGTGCCTGCCCTGTAGTGGTGGCTTCTTAAGTGGTACATGCTAATTTTGCACTCTTCTGGGGCATAGTGTGGCATCGGACTACATCATGTCATCTCTAACTACCAGAACAGGGTAATTAGCACAGCTGTCATTTTAGACAGTATTTCTTCAGGTTGGGGACATTACAGGTTTTCTGTACAAGCTGTTTAGCAGTAGCACCTGCTGTCACCCACAGGTCTCCGCCAGGCTGTGGAAGGAGGTTGCTCCTCCTCTCTCAGTGCTCCGAGGGCCTTGGCCACCCTCACCATTCCTGCTCTCCTGTACTTCACAGGCTTAGTTGTCCCCTGTTCTGTTTGCTTCTTCCATAAGATCAACCTTTTAGCTTCCACCTGTGAGAACACTTTACAAAGTTTTATGAATAGAATTAAAATGTAAATTTATTTTTACCTTATTACAAAAACAAATAAATAAATAAAATCCATGTGGAAGGGGCCAGTGCTATGGCTCGATAGGTTAATCCTGGACCTTCAAGTGCCAGCTCCTGCTTGTGGCCTGGGAAGGCAGTCAAGGACACCCGGACCTGCACCCGTGTGGGAGACCTGGAAAAGGCTCCCAGCTTCAGATAATAGCTCAGCTCTAGCTGTTGTACCATTTGCATTTGGAACTTGAACATGGAAGATCTTTCCCTCTCTGGCTCATCTTCTCTCTGTAAATTTTCCTTTGAAATACAGATAAATAAATCTGCCTCCCAGGTATATTAGCAAGGAGCTAAAGCAGAGACAGAGCAGACAGGACTTGAACAAGTGCTCTGATATGGGAGGATGGCATCGCAGGGGACAGCTGAGCTTGCTGCAGCACAGCACTGACCCTAGAGTTTGTCTTTCTGTGCCTGGTGGATTCTACCTAACACGGCACCCTTAGCTCCCTCTGCATTGCTCTAAGTGACAGGAGCTCGTCCCCTGGGGGCTGCATAGTATCCCATGAAGTATGTGTGACACATTTTCTTCAGCCACCACAGACACCCAGTTGGTTACAAATCTTTGCAATTGTGAGAAGTGCGGAAGTGAACAAGCCACTGCAGATGGAAAACCTGTTTCTTGCCAGCAGTCTAGCTCCCGAGCTGGAGGGAGCCAGGGTGGGGTGGGTGGATTTTACAGGGAAGTAAGAACTTTTAAGGAACAGGGCACCTCCCCTGCCCCATGTCAGGTGGGAAGATCAGAGCGAACCCTCCCTTTTTCGCCCCTGTGGCATTGCGACCAGGGCTAGTGCACGAAATGGAGCTGAGGTGGGAAAGTGTTTTTCTTGGGGCAAGAAGAGTGAGCCTGTCTCTCACACAAGACAAGCCTGTGGTGTGGGTGTGCAGGGGTTCCTGGGGCTCCTGAGAGGAAGCTGCTGACTGGCAGCTGCTTTGGGAATGGCCGTGTCAGGGCAGGTTTGCCTGCCTGTGAGCCTGAGGTCTCTGCCATGCTTTGGGACTGGAGGTGAGGTTCTGGGATCTGAACTTGGCCTACGGGTCAAGCACAACCGTAACACCAAAGGGTGGGCAGCAAGTGAGGGACACTGAGGGGCCCTCCCTCAATGCAAGCACTCCAGCTGCCTGCTTGCCCCCTCTCCAACCTCAGGGGGTGACCTCCTCCCTGAACCCCCTGTGTGTTGGGAGGGGGTGTCAGTGGCACCACAGCCAGATGGCCATGACCCTGTCTCTCTCGTGCAGGTGCTGAAGGACGTCCTCAAGGACCTCTACCACCTGCTGAAGCACGTGGTACGCATGGAGCCCGATGACGTGGCCAAGCTCCACGCCCAGCTGGCCTTGGAGGAGCTGGACGAGATCATGAGGAACTTCCTGTTCCCCCCGCAGAAGCTGGAGAAAAAGATCATGGTCCTGCCTTAGGTGTGGCTCAGGGGACATGGAGGAGGCACGGGGGGACGGGGCACGGGGTGCTCAGGTCTTGCCTCGCGTGGCTGCTGCCAGAAGTGGCTTTAGGGTGTTGGTCACGGGGATCTTCAGGCTGACACTCAGAGTGCATCTGTGTCACCATCCTGCTTCCAGCCTGGAACATGTGCAGCTAAAAGAAGGAAAAAAAGATGACAGCTCTTTCACCTGCACTTTCATCCCTGTCCTGTAGCATTCAGAGAACCAGGGATGCTGATGGGATCTCTGGCTGTGGGGTCCACCCTGACTGGGGGGATTTGGTCAGCAGACTGCTCCCCAGCCCCTGGAGGAGCACCAGTTAGCACCCAGCCTGGCCTCTGTTGTCCCCACACTCTGCTGTGCCACCCCGAGGTTTCCCTTCCCATGCCGGTGAGAATGGGCAGGGGTGTCACAGACTAGGGGGTGCAGGTGGATGTGGGGAGAAGGGAGTGGACCCCAGAACGTGCAAAATGGAATAAAGTCATGGCTGAATCTGTGCTTCTGGGATTGAGACGGATTGCTGCTGGGGTCCAGAGACCTGGCACCAGAGGAGGTCCAGCTGGGCAGATGTTCACAAGAAGGGTGAGCCCTGTGCCTATCCTCCTGGGCTGCGGTGGTTTTTGCTCCCCCACCATGTGCAATATCTGAGAAGAGAGCCGAGGAGTCTCCGAGCAGGTTCCTAGGTTTGGTTCTCTGCTTTCCAGCCAAGGTGGATGCCCCGACCGTGGATCGGCACTGGCTGCTGGTTGCCAAGGGGTTGGCATGGCCAGTGGCCAGATGCCAGGTTCCCAGAAGCAGTTTCTGATGTGGCCCTGTGTTCAATGCTGTACTGATTTAGCACTCTTGGCCCCTGCGTTTTGATTGCAGCTGAAATGAATGACAGAAACGAGAAACCGGCTGGCTGCTTGAGATAAGCCGTGCTGGTCCTACCCACACCTGACCAGGCTGACGCGGGCCTCCTGGCCGGTGTTCCACTGTGCAGACTTGGGTTCCGGGCTTCAACCCTGCTCACCAGGGTGTCCCGCCCCCCAGGTGCTAATCCACAGTAGATGAGAACTCAGGAACACAAGGATCTCTGCACACATGCGTACTTGCCAGTTAACAGTGGAATGTTTCCATGTGGCCCGCTGGCAGACACCGTCCTCACTTGCAGTGGGCAATCCCAGGAAGGAGGCCGCTCCTGCATGCTTCCAGACCAGTTAGCACAAGTGAGCACAAGACTGCAACCAAGGGAGTCAGAGGGCTCAGTATGCTTCTCTTATTTTTAATTTGTAAATTTACTTTGAAAGTCCAAGCAAGTCCATGTGCTTGGCTCATTCCTCAGATGCCAACATCAGCTAGCACTGTGCCAGGCTGTGTCAAGAGACAGGAACTGGGCCCGACGCGATAGAGTAGTGGCTAAAGTCCTCGCCTTGAACATGCCAGGATCCCATTGGGCATCAGTTCTAATCCTGGGAGCCCGGCTTCCTGTCCAGCTCCCTGCTTGTGGCCTGGGAAAGCAGTAGAGGACGACCCAAAGCCTTGGGACCCTGCACCTACATGGGAGACCTGGAAGAAGCTCCTGGCTCCTGGCTTCAGATTGGCTCAGCTCCAGCCATTGTGGCTGCTTGGGGAGTGAATTATCAGATGGAAGATCTTCCTCTCTCTCTCTCCTCCTCTCTGTATATCCAACTTTCCAATAAATAAAATCTTAAACAAGCCAGGAGCTCGGTCTGTGTCTCCCACCTGGGCAGCTGCTCCCAGTGTGCACATGGCAGGGAGCTTGATGGGAAACATATCTGTGTGATATGGGGTGCCAGCAACCGGGGTAGGTTGGAATCCCTTATCTCACGTGCCCGCCCCTGAAGGTCCCCTCTTAATCAGAACTTTGACAAGTGGCTAAAATCATCTGTTCTTTACAGATTTTGATTAATTCGGTTTCAGAATAACTTTGTCTTCCTGACTCGGTTACCTTGTGCAGGGGTTTAAAATAGATTGATGTGGGCCCAGCACAGTGCCCTATTGGCTAAGTCCTTGGCTTGCACACACCAGGATCCCTTATGGGCACTGGTTCTAATCCTCGCAGCCTCACTTCCCATCCAGCTCCCTGCTTATGGCCTGGGAAAGCAGCTGAGGACGGCCCAAAGCCTTGGGACCCTGCAGCTGCATAGGAGACCTGGAAGAGGCACTGGGCTCCTGGCTTCAGATTGGCACAGCTCTGACTGTTGTGCTCACTTGGGGAGTGAATCATTGGACGGAAGAGCTACCTCTCTGTATCTCCTCCTCTTTGTATGTTTGACTTTTCAATAAAAATAAGTAAATGTTTTTAAAAATTTTTTAAAAATTTAAATAGATTGATAGATTTTTATTTGCAAGGCAGAATATCAGATACAGACAAAAGGAGACAGATAGACTTTTCATCCGTCATCTTACTCCCTGAATGGTTGCAGCAGTCAGGGCTCGACCAAGCCAAAGTTGCGAGCCATGAACTTCATCTTGGTCTCCCATGCAGGTGCAGGGGCCTGAACACTGGGCCGTCCTCTGCTGTCTTCCCAGGTGCGTTAGCAGGGAGCTGGGCCAGAAGTGGAGCAGCCCATACAGGATGCCATGCTGTAGGCAACAGATTAATCCTGATATACAATAACATCAATCCCAGGTAATAGAGTCTTAAAATTATTAAATAATGCTTTCAAATTATGTATGTACATGTACGTATTTATATGTTTGTGTATGTGTTTTTGTGTTTGTATATAAGTGGAGTCCTTGGGAAGGAGCTTGGAAACTTTATGATGAGAAAAGCACTACGTGTGGGGTTGGCGTTGTAGGGTAGTAGGTTAAGTCCCCGCTGTGGTGCCGGCATTCCATATGGATACTGAATCATGTCCTGACTGTTCTGCCTTCAATCCAGCTCCCTGTTAATGTGCCTGTCAAAGCAGTGGAGGATGGCTCAAGTCCTTGGGACCCTGTACCTGTGTAGGAGACCCAGAAGAAGCTTCTGGCTTTGGATCAGCTCAGCTCTGGCTGTTGCAGCCATCTGGGGAGTAAACAAACTGATAGAAGATTTTCTCTCTCCCCTTTCTGTAACTCTGCCTTTGAAATATAAACAATAATAATAATAATTTTTAAAAACCACTAAACTTGAATGTCAGGTGGCACAGGCAGGTGGCAGAAAGGGGAGTAACCTCCATGCACAGTGGCACCCCAGAGCCGTGTCCACCTTCCCCCCACCCCTCCAGGTCCCCTGGCTCCAGCTCTCCCATGGAGGTCCTTCCGGCCCTTACCTTGGCCCTCCTCCCTTATCACGCGGGCATGATTCCCCTGTGACCCTCACTCTGCCTTGTCCCCCTCCTCTGCTTCCCTCCTCGGGCCTGCTGCCCACAGCCCTCTTGGTCCTTGGCAGGAAGCATGAGAGACAAGCAGGCCCCGGAGCAGTGGCTGCAACTGGGTACCCCCACCCCCTTGACCCCCGCTTGAGTTGCTTGGTCAAGTTAGGCTTCCTGAACCTTCTGGAAAGCCTCTCCCTGCTGCCTTGTTTTCCTTCCTTCTTGGCATAGACTGCCTTCTGCGAGCCCTCTGGCTGTAATCAGGAATCTCTGCTTATCACCTCTCCGCACACCCTGCTTCCCTCGTGCCCTGGTCCCCGCCGGGCTCCCCTGCTCCATCCCTTCCCGTCCCCACGGCTCTGCCCGCCTGTTCTCAACTCTGAGCAGAGGTGCCAGGCACAGTAGGACAGGGGAGCAAGTCCCAGGAGGTGACATCGGTTGATTTAGCACCAGCCACACAGCGGTGCTCCAAACACCAGCCCCACTCTGCAAAGGAACCTGAAACATGTTGAAGGGAGACAGAGACAAGAGAGAGACCGCCCTAAGAGCGAAAGGATTTTGATTCCTGGTGCAGACACAACCTCACTGGGCAGGCAACAGGTGAGTGATGGGAAGCAGGTGGAGGAGCACTGCAGAGCTAACTCTGGAAAGAGTGGCTCAGCCACCTCAGCATGTGCAAAGGCCCAGAGGTGAGAGCATGCTAGAGCAGGCAGGGAGAGGAGTGGGGCGATCACGGGGAACCTGGAGCTGCTCGCAGCATGGCAGGGCATGCTTAGTCCCATGGAAAGGCAGCAGTGAGTACATCTCACCCCCACCGCCCAGCCCGACGTGGCTGCCATTGCTCCTGCAGTCACAGAGCCTCTTCCCTCTAAAGAAAGGAATTCAGGCGTGCAGATCTGCCTGTGGCCTCCCTGTCCCTTTGAGAGGGTAGCAGAGTGAAGCTTAGCCTGCCACCTGCTCTGACCCTGCTGGCAGGCTGCTGCAGTGGGGATGTGGCTACAGCGGGGATGTGGCTGCAGCATCTAAAACATATCACAGGGGAATGGGTGGAGATGACCTGTGCAAAACCAGAGGCGGATGAGGCTTCTGCGTGCAGGCTACGTGCAGAAGTGTGGGTTCCCAGCTGGAGTCTCTGAGGGGGCAGTGTGAGATCAGGGTGGGCTGGAGGGATAGCCTTTTCTGGGCCCCCAGCTGCTATCCTGCCCCCTAGGCAAGCCACTGGCAGTGCCACTGTGCTGGGGACAGGCCTGCGTGGCTGGAGCCAGGATCCTGTCTAGTTTCTGGCAGTTTCTACTACTGGTGGGCTTTGCCCTGGGAAGGACCCCTTGTTCACAGCTGCCCAGTGGCCTGGGTCCCAGGTTTTGTGCCCCTCCTGCTGGTGACCCTGTGCGGGGTCCTTTTGGAGCACAGCAGCAAGATCTGCCCAAGTTGTCTTCCCTGTCTCAACTGGCTGGTTCTCACAGCCAACTGGAGAACAAACAGCTCCCAGCGCGGGTCCCGCCGTCCACATGGGGCGATCCTCCGTGAATTGTTTGAGCTTGTGTTGAGTGCTGTGGTACCTCTCACCCTGTCCCCCACACCCTCCAAACGGGCAGAGGAGAGAGTTGCTAGAGGTCCAAACTCCACTGCCCATTGCCCACCCCCAGGGAGCAAGGAGGAGGTCACGATGACCAGTGCGCCCCTGCCCCACACCTCTGTCTCACCTGAGGAGCTGGGCACAGCCTCCTGACACTGGTGCTCTGACTGCATGTAATGTGGGTACACATGCAGGCATGTGTGTGTCGTGCACATGTGTGTGAATGTGTGTTCGGGCGATGCAGGGTCTGTGAACTACAGCAAAGTGGGTGTTCAGCAAACATCCCACAACCTCGCTGCCACTCCTACCCCAAGCTTGGCACCGACACGCTCAGCATGGCACGCGGACTCTGGTCCTGCAGCCCCTTACTGCTTGGAGCCTGGAGCCTCAACCAGCCAGTTGGTGTTATGGGCACCTCCTTTGCAGTGTCACTGTGGTCTCCGGTTTTGCCAAACCCCAACATGGTGAAGTGTTTGTCCATTGATGGCAGTTGAGTCATTTTCTCTCCTCCAGTGATTTGGAAAAGTGTTTCATGTATTTGAAAGGCTGAGTGTGCGTTCCCCTCTGATGGTTCACTCCCCAGATTCCCTCAGTGCTGCGCGAGAAGAGCAGGTGGGAGGTGGAAATGC